AGAAAAAGAAAGGAGTGTTAGAGTGGGACCCTTTTGGCCATTTTGTAGGCTTTCAGGTCTGAGTTGTTCTGGTAGACTTTATCTTTTAGGTTTTTGTTTGTTTATTGGGCTTAGTAACAGCTTTATTGAGGTGCAGTTGACACAGTAAGCCGCCCTTGTTGGAAGTTTACTAGCTATTAAGTTTTGGCACATGTGTGCCACCCACAGAGCCATCACCACAGTTGTGACAGTGAATGTACCCATCAGCCCTGGGGGCATCCCTGCATCATGCTATTTTGAAGCTGTGTTAGGTAGATATTGGGGCCCTCTCTAAGCCCCTTGCCTGGCATATCACCCCTGTCAGGGTGCCAAGGTGGGCAAACTGACCCTCAAGACCACAGAGATGGAGACCATATATGACCTGGGCACCAAGATGATCGAGTCCCTGACCAAGGACAAGGTCCAGGCTGGGTGAGCAGCGGGGCCGCACTGGGTGGTGGGGTGAGGGGAACTTGGGCTCCCATCCTTCCTCACTCCTGCCCTCCTTACCCCTGCAGGGACGTGATCACCATCGACAAGGCCACGGGCAAGATCTCTAAGCTGGGCCGCTCCTTCACCCGCGCTCGTGACTATGATGCCATGGGCTCCCAGGTGGGCCAGGGCCCTGAGGAACCCCTCGCCCCAGCCTCTAGACACCCAGCCCCATGTCCCTGGCACTCCTGGTTCCTCCCTATGCCCTCTAGCACAGCTGGGCATGTTGCTCATGGTTCTGAGGTTCCCTAGTCCCTTCCAGGGCTCTTGAATGCCCTAGACTTGACAACCTCCTGGGCCTGGCGTTTCTGGATTCCCATTCCAGGGAACCCCGGTCTACCTCAGGTAGAGCCCATCTGGAACCCCTTTCATGCTGTTCTCTGCCCTTGTCTCCACCCCCTACACTTCCCCTCTGGCCCCGTAGACCAAGTTTGTGCAGTGCCCAGATGGGGAGCTCCAGAAACGCAAGGAGGTGGTGCACACCGTGTCACTGCATGAGATTGATGTCATCAACTCCCGCACCCAGGGTTTCCTGGCTCTCTTCTCAGGTGAGGCGCCTCGTCCTGCACGCTCGCCCTGCCTCCCAGTGCGGCCCCACGCATGACCAGGGCTTCTCCCGTCTCCCCCCGTCCCTGGGTGCTGTCTTCTGTTCTGTCTGTGCGTGTGGTTCATCCTCCCGCTCTGTTGCCCTCCGAGACCCTTTCTCGGGTCTGATGTGGGCACATCCCTGCCCCTGCCCTCTTCCCCTGGGTTCTCTGTCTCTGTCCCTCTTCTCTCGAGATGCTTCAGGCTCCCAGGTCCTCCTGCTGCCCTGCCCCTCCGGTCTTGATCTTTCTTCCTGTGGCCCTGGGGTCTCGTCTTCCTCTGTCTTCACCCATCCTCCAGCCCTAGATCCCCATCTCCTCTCCGACACCCCCTGTGCCCCCCTGCCTCCCTCAGGCGACACAGGGGAAATCAAATCAGAAGTCCGAGAGCAGATCAATGCCAAGGTGGCGGAGTGGCGTGAGGAGGGCAAGGCGGAGATTATCCCTGGCGTGAGTATGGGGCAGGGCCAGGCGGGCAGCTCAAGGCGGGGCAGCCAAGAGGAAGGAAGGCCTGGCTGGTGGGTTCGACATGCGCGGTGTGGCCCCCAGGTGCTGTTCATCGACGAGGTCCACATGCTGGACATCGAGAGCTTCTCCTTCCTCAACCGGGCCCTGGAGAGTGACATGGCACCTGTGCTCATCATGGCCACGAACCGCGGCATCACCCGGTGAGCCGGCCGCGGGCCCCTCAGAGGGCCCTGGGGAAGCGGTGCTCTGGGAGGCGGGATCGCCACAGGGTAAACGGGGTGTGTTTGTTGAGCACCTCATTAGGGAGGAATATTTAAAGTTTTAGAAGGACACACAGCGACACAGTGATGTGTGTCGCACACTGTGGAAACCACTATTAGATCACTCGGACCTAACTATTCAATAAATGAAGCAGAACTTGGTATTTCTTTTGGCCTGAGAATGCGGTAGAAAAATTCCTGAGACATGCAGGGCACCTGCTCCCATAAATCTTGGGAACCTCGTGGTCCTAGAGTTTTTCCAGCACCCTCTGCCCTGCTGTCCCAGCTGGCATTCTTCCTAGCTCATCTACCTGTTGGCCCTTGTGAAGAGAGAAGGAAGTTGGGGGCAAACAGCCCCCCAGTAGGCTGATGCCTGAAGGCTGCACCCAGCATATCCACCCCAACCCGTTGCTCAGCACTGCTCTGGCTGTGCAGAAGCCGGGGAGCGTCTTCTCCAGGGCCACAGCCATGTGCTGGTGAAACTGGCCAGCGGGGGTGGTTGTCACTTCAAGGAAGAGAGGAGCCTGGCGCTGGGGGCAGTGGGCAGAGTCACCCTGGCACTGTGCTCAGCACTGTTCCCGGGTGAACTGCTTGGACTCCCAAAAGAAACTCAAGAAAGTAGATACTGTGTCAGCCCCATGTTACAGAGGAAGAGAGCAAGGCCCAGGGGTGTGCTCAAAGTCACTTGCAGGTGGCAGGTCCAGACTTTGACCTTGAACTGACAGGATCAGATGGGATGGCCGAGAGCATCTTCGTAGTAGCTGTGGATCTGGGTGTGGAACCTGCGCTTGGGGTTGTCTGCTGGGACGCTCATTATTTGCAGATTCTGCTTTTGTGAATCTGCTTCCTCGCTAAGATCTGTAATCCCCAAATTTGTATTCGTGACTATTTTGTAGTCATTCATGGATGTGTGCAGAGCACCAAAAACATTTTGAGTTGCTTGACATGGATGCTGCACACTAAGGTCAAATACACTGTCTCCTAGTTTCAGCTCACATGCTGTAAACAGGTGTCCTTTTGATGATGTGTTTCGTGCCATATCTGTCACATTGGCTGCTCTTTGTTGGTGGTTTTGCTGTTTAAAGTGGCCCCCACCTGTACAGAGTCCCTAAGCACAAGAAGGCTGGGATGTGTTAGACGAGCTTCGTTCAGGCCCAAGTCACAGGGCTGCTGGCCGTGAGCTCAGAAGGATGAGTCAATAACACATATTAAGTAAAGTGCTTTTAAACAGAAACCCATAAAACCAGGTTATATGTTGGTTGGTTGACAAAAATGTTTTGGCCGAAGGCTCAAAAGAACCTAATCCTGTACCCTCTAGGTGCAGTAGTTCAGTATTTGCTAATCAAATGCTCGCCTCTGCTCTGTAGCACGTCACTACCTGGAATAATGAGAATCAGCTGTATTTCCTAGCATCTGGGCCAGGCACAGCGGGGAACAGGACTGGCACAGCCCCTTCCCTAGTGCAGCTCTGTGTCAAGTAGGAGAGTGGACCTTGGTCCAGTAATCCCATAGATGTCTAGCTAAAACCAGCCTGACTCTGCAGGGGGATTGACGCAGTTAGGGGATGGCTACACAGCCAGGTGGTGATGCCAGCCGTGAGCTGAAGGTTAAGTGGCATTTGGCCCGGTGAGTGGGCTGTGCTGGAGCGCGTAGGTGGGGTGTCCTGAGGAGAGGGAACAGGGAGCTGGTTCTGGGAGCATCACCCTGAAGCCCTCCCTTCCCCTCCTCTCCAGAATCAGGGGCACCAGCTACCAGAGCCCCCATGGCATCCCCATCGACCTGCTGGACCGACTGCTCATTGTCTCCACCTCTCCCTATAGCGAAAAGGACACAAAGCAGATCCTCCGCATCCGGTGGGCAGCGCTGGGCAGATCAGGGTGTGGGCCTGTGAGGCAGGGCCAGTGTCCAGCCTGGTTGACAGACGGGGACACTGAGGTCTGAGGGGGAGGTCTCTGGGCCTGCAAGAGGTAGGCTGAGCTGGGCATCCAAGTAGTGGCCCCTCATCTGGGAGTGGAGAAGGGACGAGCCAGTAGCTGATAGTGGGTTGGAGAGGCTAAGGGGGCCCAGATTTGAGGCTCAGTGGCCCTTCTTGCTCAGCGTTCAGTGGTTCTGAGGATGCAAACTCCACATATCTGCCAAGAGATCTAGCAGGGCCCAGGGAGAAGGGCCAGCTAGGGGCTTGTTGCTGTCAGAGGTCCAGCCCTCGCTGAGACCCCTGCCCCCACCTGTCCACAGGTGTGAGGAGGAAGACGTGGAGATGAGCGAGGACGCCTACACAGTGCTGACCCGCATCGGGCTGGAGACCTCCCTGCGCTATGCCATCCAGCTCATCACAGCCGCTAGCCTGGTGTGCCGGAAACGCAAGGTGACCCAGTAGACAAGTCTGCAGGGGGCCAGATTGAGAGAGTGAATAGCCCACTACTCCCAGGGCTTCGAGGGGTTATTGCATTTAGTCCTAGAACATATGTCTGCAAAGGCAGGGAACTTTGATTTCTAGGGGTGATTTCTGAATCGCCCCACCCGACATAGTAGGTGCTCAGCAAATATCTATTGACTGTAAGTTGATGGACTTAAGTGCATTTGACAGATCAAGAAACTGAGCAATGAAGAGGTTACATCCATAGCCAGGCAGTGGCCAAGGTAGGATTTGAACCCAGGTGATCTGGCCCCAGAGCCCCCACCCTGACCCACCTCCTGGGAGGGGTCCCACTGAGGTCTCACTGTCTGTTCCTTCCTGTCCGTAGGGCACAGAGGTGCAGGTAGACGACATCAAGCGGGTCTACTCGCTCTTTCTGGATGAGTCGCGCTCCACGCAGTATATGAAGGAGTACCAGGATGCCTTCCTCTTCAATGAGCTCAGTGAGTGCACCAGGGTCACACACACCCCCAGAGATGGGAGGGACTTGGTCTGCAGAGCTCAGGCCATGCCCTCTGGGCCACACTGACCGTGTGACCTTCCTTCTCCCCATAGAAGGCGAAACCATGGACACCTCCTGAGCTGATGTCACCCTTCACCCCCTCCAGCCTCTGTTTTCTACCAGAGTTCTGACACTGTGACTTTGTATAAAATGGTTCTAAAACTGGACCCACTGTGTGTGTGTGTGTGTGTGTGTGTACGCATGTACATATGCATGTACCCTGAGTTTGAGAAAAGACATCCCTGCAGTGCACTGTGAAAAACCTTTATTTTATGGGGCGGGGAGAAGAGGCACATCTGGCTCCACAGGTCAGGGTGGGCGTGGGAGGTTGAGGGGATGCCTAGGAGAAGAGGAGGCCTGGGAGTGGGGGGCGATCACAGGCCAAGGGTTGGACTCTGGGACCCCCGCAGTCGGAGCTGCTGAGGCGACAGGGCCCGCAGCGACAGCTGAGGGCCACAGGGAAGGAGACCATGGGGTCCACGCCTGGCGGGCAGCCGGGGAGCCGGACGGAGGCAAAGCGCAGCTCATGGTAGGTGCACACTGGCTGGGGCACTGGTGGCAGGACAGCTGGCAGCACCCGCACCTGGAGAGCAGGTTCGGGGGTGGAGCATAGGTGTTTGCCTGGGGTTATGCCCTCCCCTGCTGACTCCCCAACAGATCCCAGACCCAGGTGTCCAGGGGACCCTCTGTGTTCTCCCTCCCACAGGCCCTGCTGTGACTCCAGTCCTTGCCAAGGGTGGCCACCCATTCACCCCTGCTGCCTTGTGTCTTGGGTGGGCCTGGCCCTGAGTAGTCCATCCTAGAACTAGGGCAGCAGGGCTGGTCTCCACCCTCCCTGGGCAGCTCACCATGCTGGGGCAATAGCCGGCACAGATGCTGGTGGTGAAGGTGATGCAGACAGGGCAGGCCTCGTTCTCCGCAGCCAGGGTGGCATTAATGGGCTGGCACAGTGGCCTCAGTGGCCCCCTGGATGCCCACACCCCGCCCGCACTCAGCAGCAACCACAGCAGCAGCCCCTGGGACAAGGCCAGTGCTGTAGAGCAGCCTGAGCCCTTACCTCCCAGCACCCTCCACACACATTCAGGGTCCCAGCTCCCTGCCTGACATCTTCCATTCAGGACTTGCCCCTCAGCTTTGATTCCCCATCCTAATACCCAAGGACCCCAGATTCCCCAATCCTTGGGCCTTGCCCCACCCGATTCCCTCCTACAAGGAAGCCTAGCTGTGCACAGCCTTCTAGAAAGAAAGAGGTCTCCTTCATCAGGCACTCTTCCCTCTGTGCCAATGGTGGCCTGGATGGAGTTACAAGGTGCCTAGGGGCCCTAGTCTTACCTGGAGCGTCTCCATCTTTGGTGCCTCCCCTTCCGTGTTTACCTGGTCTTATACTTGCAGGCTGTGGGGGTGGCAAGGCCACTGGGGGTGGTGGCATAGTGGAGTAACCTGGACACTAATCTCCCCGGGGGCGAGAGGCAGACAAGGTCAGGGAGGTGCAGGAGTGGCTCGGTGCAGCATCCCCTCTCCCCACTTCCTGAGTGGCCGCCTAACCAAGAAGCAGCAAACTCCCAAAGTGAAAGTGACTTTACAGACTCAATCCTCAGATGCTAGAGGTCATGTTCGTGGCACAGGAAAAAGGGTGTAGGGAACCTTGGGCTGTGCCCCTGCGGTGTAGCCCCGCCTCTGCCCAACATGGAGGGGAGCGAGAGGGAGGCTAGAGCTCAACCCTCCCATGAGGTCTAATGGGGACTGACTGAAATCCATTCTGGTGCCTTGAGTTTCACCCCTTGGGAGGGGCGTGGCTTCCATGTTGTCTGCTCAGAGGCTGGGGTCGGCCTCCACAAGGGACTCAGCGGGAGCCCCCTCTGCCCCACACTCATACCCCCAGAAGCCAGGATGCTGGATACGAGCCCACCAAAAAGCGTTGTTTCAGCCATTTATCTGGTCATTGGTAAGAACCGCCGCTGGCCCACAGCCCCAGAGTTAATTTTCCAGGCTCAGGCCCGCCCCCCAAATCGAGGGGTCGTCCCAGGCTCCGTGTCCCCCACGATGGGCGGGGTTCCCGGTCTTAGACCCGCCCGGCGCGCCCCAGTCGCCCTCTGCCAGGCTTGGCCCCGCACCCAGCGTGGGGGCGTGTCCGGGGCGGGGCTGGCAGGCCTGCTCAGACCAGCGCGCGCTGCAGGTTGCCGTAGGCAGAGTACTCGGTGCGGTAAGCTCGCGGCACGCTGTAGATGCCAGACACCGGCTTCCGGTGGGGGCCGCCCCAGGGCAGCTCCAGCGGGCAGAAACGGTCCAGCCGGCGGAGTGGGTGCGGCGGGGAACTGTAGGACTCCTGAGCTAGAGACAACGCCCCGCGGTGCGGCACGGCTGGCGTGACCGGGCGGGCACGGGGCACGCGGATCCCCTGCGGCCCAGGCTGCCGAGAAGAGCGCAGATAGGGCAGCCCCCGCGGGTCATGGCCCCAGGTCTGGGGTGTCTCCTCGAGGCTCCAGGTCAGCGAATCCTTGCGGGGACATTCAGACAATTCCTTCCTGTTGGAGAGGGGAGTGGAGGAAATGCGGGATGGGGAGGTCACACCGGGTTCACAGGGACGAGGCTGAGGTTCAGACTTCGGGTTCTGAGGCTACAGACCCGAACTCCAGCGTTTGGAGGTGAGGACATACTTGCTGGAGTCGGGGACTCCTTAGGAAGGATGGGGCCGGGGCCTCCTAACCTGGATTCCTGGGTCCTCGAGGTACTTAAGGGCCTGGAACCTGGGGTTTTTGCATCCTCGGGAAGAAGTATCTGGGTCCTCAAATACCAAAGTAGCCCCAATTCCCGCCCCCGGATCCAGAACTCTCTCTTAGGCAGTCTGCAGGCGTCCTGTTCCTGAGGTTGACTCTAAGGATAACGGCGCTAAAAGAGGTAGGGGCTGGGGTCTGGGCTAGTTCTTGCGCATGCGGGAGCTGAAGGCTAAGACTACTGAGTCAGAGACCCGGAGCCCACACCGGGGCTCAGCGTCCCACCAGCCTGCTTGGGGGCTGTGCAGGGGGCCGTGCAAGCAAGGACCCAGACTCACTTCCAATAGGCCCGGAAGTCCTGGGCCGAGGTGGTCAGGTAGATCTGACGGCGGTCCAGGATGCCCTGGTCGGACACTGTGAAAGGCCGGCCGGCCAGCTCGGGGTTCTTGGTCCAGGGGATTAGAGCCTGAGGAGGATCGGGGAAAGAAAGATGAGCAAGAAAGGGATTTCATACTCCGTTTCAAGCCTCAACAGTCCCTCTGGATCAGGCCCTCATACCTGCCCCCAGAACCAGAATCCTTTCTGACCAGTGGTGTGCCGGCGCGCTTTAGTTTCGCTCCCCAAATCATATCTCTTATTAGGGTCACTCCCAAGTCCAACACTTCCGTGTCATCGAACACAAAGATCGGTTCCCAGCCTCGAAAACTTTCCCGGCTTCGCCCCCGGACGCAAACTTTCCTGGTCCCGCCATTAGAATTAAACCGCACCTTGGGCAACAATTTCTCCTTGGCTCATCCTGTCCGAGAAAGCCTTGCCCTGCCTCCTGTTGGACTCGGTCTCCGAATATTCAAGAGCCGCCCCTACGAACAGTCTGCGACCTAGCTCTGCCCCCGGCCTCAGAACCCCTCTTTCACCTGCCCCTGGATTTACTAGTGACGCCCCCACCTCACCCGGGACTTCAGGTCTCCTGTCTGTCCTTCCGGCCCCCACCTCAAAAAGATCCAAGCCCCTCCCATGGGCTCTGTAACTTGATTCCTCCCGGACAATTTAGCCACGCCCCCAAGGCCGAAAATTCCTCCTGGCCCCGCTTCCAGGTCTCCTAGTCTGGTCCCTAGGCTCAGAGCCCGCGCCATCTCGCCCCAGACGCTCCAAGCTCTGTCCCACCGCGCTACCGCGGTCTTTTCCGCTACCTGGGAAGGGCCCCCGCGGTGATGGTCCGCAAGCTCCAGGGGCTGGGGCCCGACGTAGAAGGGGGCGCGCTGGTCCAACCCGGGCCAACCGGTGTACTGTGCCTTAGTCTCACTGCACCGGTGCTTTGTGGTCAGAGGGAGGCGCCCGCCGCGGTGTCTGAGCTGCGGGCAGGCGACGCGGGGACCCAGCGTGAGGGTACACGCTACTCCAGTGCTGTCTCCGACCCAGTCCCCCACGGACCTTGGCATCCCAAATCCTTACCTTTTCCCCTAAATCCTTGATCCCCATAGCTCGCGTCGGGTCCTCTGGCCCTGGGGCTCTGGGCTGCGTGTAGGGCCCGCCGTGAGTCTTGGGCACGTAAGCCGAGCCAGAAGTCGTCTCCCATCTGCTGATGACCTCATCAAAAGCCCAGATGTGCAAATCCCGCTTTGCGGCCGGGGGCAGGGGCTCCGCAACCGTGGACTGGGGAAAAGGACGTCAGCTAAAAAAGACTCGGGAGTCCGGCCCGCGAGCCCCAGCCTTTTCCTCCGTCCAGTTACAGGCAGCAAGGTTCCCCAGCCCCTCCTCTCTCAGCCCCTGAACTCTGGTACCCTCCTCCTTAAGTCTGACGGGGTCCAAGCCCCTAGTCCTCTTTTCTTTCAGCAGGTGTCTGGATCCTCAGGCTCCTGCTTCAGACACCAGAGTCCGGGCACTCGATCTCCTCTTAGCCAGGGACCTAGGGTCCTCTTACCTTCACAGTGGGTGGGGGAAAGGGCACGGGTGGGGTAATGTGGTGGCCGACCCCACTGCTGGTGAGATGCCAGTTGGGCCAGGATCCGGGCACCTCGGTGCCTGAGATGGGGGGCCATAGGGGACTATAGCGCAGAGCTAGGGTCCCACCGGCCATGGTCCCACTCCCAACATGTAGCTAAGCAGGAGCAGGCTTGTTGTTGTGGTTGCCCCAGGTAACAGAACCCGCCCACACTGAACCCAGCCAATGGAGGTCCTGCAGGCATGTGGATGGATGGAGAGACCCCAGCTTGGAAGAACAGGGACTTTGAAAGGGGGACAGGGACCTCAAGAGAGAAACTCAGAGAAATGGAGGGGAAAGGCCAAGAGAGAGGAGAGAAGAGAGCAGGGAAGGAGAAAGGGAAACAAGTTCAGAGTTTTGGGGATATTGAGACCCCAGAGATGGGGACAGATACCCAGATATAGAGGAACAGAGACCCAGAGGGACAGAGGCCACTCAGCACATCAGGGAATCCATGAGGAACACCCCCCTTTCCAAAGGGTCCCAACCCTCTGGCCACCTCCTTCCTCTGCCAGGCCTGCCCCCCTCGGGGGTAACGATTTCCAGACTTCCCCAGGCTCTCCCTCCTTCCTTCCCTCCCTCCCTCCCTCCCTCCCTGTGTGCGCCGGAGTCAGCCTCGGCTTCAGCTTCGGCTTTGTCTGTCCTGCCTGCCTTTGATTTGGTTGAAAACTTCCACCTGGGTATGGGGTTGGTGAAGAGGGAGAGACCCACAGAAAAATACACAGGGAAATACTTAGCAAAAAAGAGAGGGGAGGGGATGTGGAAAGAGCTTTGATGATAAAGAAAGACACTCAAGAATGGGTAAGAGGCAGTGAGCTAGAAACATAAGAGACAGCAAGAGACTGGGTGGGAGGTGACAAAAAAGGGAACCGCAAACCCATGACACAGCGATGTAGGAACAGAGGCCGCCAGCCCCTGCCCAGCCTGCCACCCCTGTCCTTTCCAGGGGCCCAGTCTGTGTTGGTGGTGGATGAAGGACATCTATATCCTTAACCCAAATTTGGTCCTAAAAGGATGTGTGCACACAAGAGCCTGCATGTATGTGTTGGCAACAGGCATACTGAGTGGTGACAGATGAAGGTGTCCTGAGGGTTTGGGGTATACCCGTGACTTCTCTTGTCATATCCTCACTCTAAAGATGTTTTTGTAAGGCCTCTGCCTCCTTCCCCAGCTGCTCATTAGCTCGTCTCATTGACCCCCTCATTTAGGCTTCTGGGGTCCCTCCTCCTGTTGGATTTTCCTAATCCACTCAAGGCCTTTCAGTGTCCACATGACCCCAGATCCTAGCCAAGAGGCAAGCCCATTGGCCAGAACCTCATGCTCTACTCAAGTTAAACAATTTTAAGGACTATTTCTTTCCCAATGTGTAATAAAGGTTGGACAAGGAAGGCCATAGGAACCTGACTCCAACTCCCCACCAGAGCCAAACTCCAGCATCCTGACCACATATCATTCAACTGCTTGTGCTCCTACGATGCCAGGTAGCTCTCTACCTCAAAACAAAACAGTCTGAGCCAACACTTGCTCAATCTAACCAAGTGAGATTTCTCATTCAAACCCCAGCTCCCAGATCATTGCTTACATGGTCCAGTTTTTATGCCCCCACACCCACTTCTTGACACATCCCTTCCTTAGCACTCTCTCCAGAGTGGGCAAGATGACATCCTCTGAGATCAAGTGGTCAGCAACTTAGAAGCCGAGGGCCTCTGATGGTCAGATCCACCTGAGTTGATCTGACAAGTGTATTAGGCTAATAAACAGTAGGCACTCAGAAAATATTGGCTATTATCATAATCATCAACACCATCAGCTTGATCCAGGAGAATGCCTATTCATCCTTCAAAACTCCATTTGGGTTCTGAAGAGATACCACCTGTCTGGCATGAACTGAGCTCTCAACATCAAGAGAGCTGGGATTCTAAAACCATTTGAAAAGTTTCCAAACTGGGGCTCAGAGCAGCCAGGCCACCCTGAGGTCTCTCAGCATCCAGCTCTTCTTCCTCTGCCCACCCAGTTCCCAGGCATGGGCCTCAGGCCCTGCCAGTCCGGCTGAGGAGTGTGCAGACGCAGGCAGTGTCGATCCGAATCCATCGCCAGCCCACACGGCCTTGGGCATCAGTGGTCAACGCCCTCACATAGGACTGCTTGGCCTTACACTCAGATACCCAGTGCCTCCGGTCCACACCCCGGCAGCCCCCTCCACTCCCACCGGGGCCACCTTCCCCAGTACTGTCAGCCTTGCAGCGGGTCTCAAAGAAGTACTGGCGGAGGGGACTGCCACCAGCTGCAGGCACCTCGCCCAGCACCTCCACCTCGCGCCCACGCAGGTCCACAGCCGTCCGGCGGTCTGTCACCCAGCCGCTGACTGCATCGCACACAGCCAGCTCTCCCCGACGACTTGCTGGTGCTGTCTCGCTTACTCCTCGCCGACTGCGGTTGGCAGGGCTGCCCACTTGCTCCCCAAAAGCCCCAGCCTCCAGCAGGAAGAGCAGAGGAGGTCCTGCTGGGGTGCCCCTGGACAGGGCTACTCGGGGGGACAGGAGGTCCCACTCTGGGGCTAGAAATGGGGGCAGTGGTGATGGCTGGGGATGGGCTTCCATTGGGATGCTGGGGAGGAGGAAAAGGAGGATGGGGAGGGAGCATGAAAGGTGGGAGAGCATCTCGCTGAGCACCTGAGAATAGAGGGAAGCTGGGGTTAGAGATGAGGGTTAAATCAGAGTGTGGTGGGGGCAGAAGTTGGGAGGAACTCCAGGGGAGCCTGCATGCCAGAACCATCAGGACGCCTGTGTACTAGAACCTTGTGACACTCTATATTCTAGGACTGGGATAATGCTAACTCCTAGATGAATCATAATTATTCTACTATTACTAATGATAGCCAACAAATGGGGAAATACAGGCTCAGAGAGGTTAGTGACTTGCATCAGGGCACCCAGTCAGCAAACGGCAGAGGTGGGACTTAAATACTGTCTGAGCAACTCCACTCTGCCATCCTGCCCCTGCATCCTCAAGGAACCCTAAGTCTGCGGCCTGGAGGAGGTCTGTGGTTCCAAAAGTCTGCAAAAGGCCATGTTCTGGAATCCTAGTGAGATCCAAGTTCAGCTCAAAACTGCCACTGAGAAGGCAAGACATTTCCTCTCTGAGGTGGGCCACAGTTTCCCTGTCTGTGAAATAGGCCTGGAGCTGGGAGATGCTGGTGGGAGCGTGGACATTGCAATTTCTCTGCATTCTGGAAGCCTGTGGTTCTGGGAAAGGGTGGCATGGAGAGGACTGGGAAGCAGCAGGTGGTTACCAGACCTGTCAGCACCTCCTCCACCTCCGAGCTCCAGGGCCGGGGGCCCCCAGGCTCGGGGGAGCCCCTGTGGGGGACACAGGTGGCCCCCTCCTTCCTGACATCTCAGGAGAGGGCGGGGGCAACCACCTAGGGAAAGACGGGAAGAGGCAGGTTATATAGGCAAGTGGAGGAGGGGGCCTGAAACCCTGTACATTCTCTCCTAGTGTTCTTAAAGTGTAGGGTACCCAAAAGTCAAGGCCACGCCCCCTTCCCAGAGGCCCCTGCCCTGCCCAGGTGATGGCTCCTAGCTGGGATGGGAAGCAGATGGGGAGAGGGGAGGGGAGGGGAGAAGAGAGAATGGAGGAGGCTGGAAAAGATTACATCCTTCTCGGCCCATTCATCTCCCAGACGGGTGGGGGTGTGGGGGGCGGGGCTGGTCTGGACCCCCGGGTCCCTGAGGGCCCACACTCAAGAAGCTCTGGGTCCCCGTGGCTGCTTCCTGGAATGTTCTCTCCTCACAGGACAGGCCGGGGCCCGTCCAAGACTTCTACTGCACATACCTGGAGTGGCTGCCTGCCCTGGCTCGGAGATGGGGAAATGGAGCGGGGTGTGAAGGGGTGTGGGGCGCACGTTGACCCAACTAGGACCGGGAGTGTAGGTCCACGGCTGCCTCCTCCTGCAGATCAGGAGCGCTGGTTCCCAGCCGCCTCCTCCCTCAGGTCAGACCCCCAGCGACCTCCTTCAGGTGCAGGAGTCCAGGCGCCCAGCGTCCTCCCCGCAGACCTAGGAATCCGGGTCCCCAACACCGTCCGCGCTCAGACCCAGGAGTTTCTGGAGTTCAGGACTCTCCTCCCCGAGTACTTAGAAATACGGACTCCCAGGCCCCTTCTCCACCAGATCTGGGCCGGGGGCTCCGGACTCCTGAGACCCCGCCTGGAGCAAGGGCTGCAAGTCTGGGACTCTTCCCTCCTGCCTCAGTTTCCTCCGCCAGGCCCCGCCCCCGACGGCCCCGCCCCCGTCCCTGCCTACCCGGGGCAGGGCGACCCGGACGCCGGAATCCCGGGGGAGGAGGCACGGAGGCTCTTACCTGGCTGGGGCGCCCTCCTCGGCTCTCGGGCTGCCCCTGGCGCGGCGGCGGCTCCTCCTCCTGCTCGCCGGCTGCAAGGACGCCCGCTCGCCCGCCGGCTCCTCGCTGCACTCGCTCCGGAGGGCCCGGGGCGGGGGCGGGGCGGGGCGGCGCCCGACGGCGGAGGAGGGGCCGGGGGACCCCGCCTTCCACGCGCGTGCTGGGACCTCGGAAGCCCGGCCTGGCTTGCTCAGCCCTCGGCCCGCCTCGGTCCCAGGAGGCCAGGCGCCAGCCGCCTCCTCCCTCAGTCCCGGGAGGCAGGACCCCAGGCCCTCCTCACTCAGTCCCGGGAGGCAGGACCCCAGGCCCTCCTGCCTCAGACCAGGGACCGCAGACCCCACCTCCCTCAGACCCAGGAGTCCTGCCCTGCGGTTCCCTCCTTCCTCAGAACCAAGAGTCTGGGCCTGAGATTCTTTTGCGTTCTTTTGCCAATTAAGTGTCAATCCCCCAGCAGATTCCCACCCTCTGCTCTCATCCCACTTTCCCAGGAGCTCCAGGCCAGACATTAACCAGCTGCGCTTGGGCAGCGATAAGGCTCGAGGCCCAGGGAGACAGTGGATGTGGGGGGCTCTCCCACATAGTCCTCTCGGCTGGAATTTCCTGGGTGGGGACTGGGGAGAGTGTCTGTCCTGAGCTCAGATAAGAGAAATTCAAGGTATTGCAGGACTCGGAGATAGACAAGGATACGATCTGGAAACAGAATGACCTGCTTAGAGAAAGAGCTGACAGAAGAGGAGCCACAGAAAGAGGAAGGGGGGACAGAAACTCAGAAAGAGAAAAAACACAGACCCAGGGAGAGGACCCCAAAAGGGGGACAGAGACTCACAGAGGGAGAGAGAGACACTAAGACAGACGGAGATTCCAGGACTGGGAGTCTGGGGACAGTCCTACGCTGGGCCCTTCACCCCTCCCGTGGAGCTATTTTCAGGAGGAAAGTTGACACCCACCTTGGTGTAGGGGGGCTGATCCCATACCCCTCCCCCAGCCTAAATATAGCATGGCAAGGTGGCAGGAAGGGTGTCCCCGGATTAGGGTGTCCCCCTCTCTTCTTCCCCATCCCAGCCAAGGCAACATAGAAGGCGGCTGCAGTTGTTTACTGGGTGTGGGGAAGGGCACTTCCCAGTATTTGAGTGTCCACTTGGTCACCTCGCTGACCTCTCCACTTCCCTCCATCCCTAAGCAGTCCACACGTCCCACCCCCAGACAGAGGGTCTCTATAACTTGCAGTCTCTTATTGGGTAGTACAGGCGAGTTTTCAAAGAGTAACTGGAAATCAGTCTCTAGGCCCCTCTGTGGGTCCCTGTCCCCCACCCACTCTCACTGTCCTCCTGTTCCCCGTTCTGGACCTCTTACCCGCTCCCAGGCTGCTCCCTCCTCCCTCCTGCTCTCCCTTCTCCCCTGGGTGTCTCTGTGCTCTCTCCAGGTCTTGGTCTGTCTCTGCACATGTCTCTTCCTCTTTGGGTCTCTTCACTGCGAGGGGGTCTGTCTCCATTTCTGTCTCCAGATGTGCCTTGCCGTTTGGGAGGGAAGTGACTACCTAAAGGTTCTAGTATTTTCAACCTTTATCAGATTCTTCCCACAGTCTATCTTCTTTTATCCCTCTGTATATAAAAAAGTGTCTGGGTTAAATCAGGGGTTTCCAAACTGAATTTCTCAGCTGCATTCTGAGTTGCCAAGAGGGACGCCATAAGAGGTGCGTTTCCCTCAAACCAGTTCCCCTCTGATGTGTCACACTGGTGCTTCTAAGTAAGATTTCATTTGGCCCCCAAAAAAGGGGGGGGGAATCATAGCTAAAAATAACACCACCACCACTCTGTAAACCACTGGGTGGGTTTTAATAAATTAATACAAGTAAAGTCTTTTGAATGATGCCTGGCACACAGGAAACCCTATATGTGTAAGTGATTTTACCATTCTCTTGTCTCCTCCTACTTAAATGCCCTTTTAGAACTGAAAGACCTCTGAAAATGTTTACCTTCTTGCCCTTGGAAAACAACATCCCCTCTGAGCCTCAGTTTCCTCGTTTGTGAGTAATGAGGCTGTAGGACTCAGGGGGTCAGTGTGCAACAGCAGGCTGGTGGGATGTGTGGGGTCGGGCAGCCTATCACAAGTCCTGACCCCAGGGACGTGTGGCACGACCTTGGGAGCCACTCCCATGCTTGAAGACTCTGGGTTTCTCCCCTGGGAAATCGAGTGGGCCCCCTTGTTTGTGTGGCAGCTTTCCTGAACCACAGGAGGACGGGGTGGTGTGCCCTGATTCGGGATCTCTTTGTGATGCCATGGAATACAGATTGTTTCTCTCTTGGGTTTGGGGCACTGGCTTTTTATCTTTTTCTCTTCTGGTTCCCTGTCTCTGGGGCACTCCAGTCTGTCTCCAACTCTGTATCTCTGCCCCTCTCTCTGGATGCCGGGCCCCTACCCTGGCCCCTACCCTGTCTCTAGCCCCCCACTCTTGGTGTCTGTCTCCTTCTCTTTGGATTCCTGTCCCTTCCCTCTGGGTCTCTGTCTCTGTCTCCTTCTCCCTGAGTCCCTTCTCTCTCTTTGGGTCTTTGTCCCCTCTTCTCTGGATTACTCTCTCTTCCTTTCTCTGGGCTCCCCTCCCTCCCCAGGTCTCTGTCTTTCTCCTTTGGGTTTCTGTCCCCCTACTGTGTCTGGACAAACACGGTTTCTCTCCCTTTCCCCTATCCTTGTGGCTCTGATCTCCATGTCTCAAAGTAAAGCCGTAAGGGAGGACAGATGGAGAGGGGGCTTGAATCGCAAAATGAAGCAGATGTGAGGTAAACAGAAGGAGCATTTACATCTTCCTGGTTCACGCAGAGGCCCGCTACATGAACAACCGCATCAATGGATGCTGACTCAGCCCTGCCACTTACAGTGAGTGAGTGGCACTGGGCAACCAGTTTGTCTCCCAGAGTCCTCACCACACTCACTCCCTGATACAGGACTCCTCCCCAGTGCTGTTGTCTTCCATGGGTCCTGGTGCTACCACTAAGTGCAGAACAAACCAACATAGCCCTATGGAGCCCATACATACAGTCCAAACCAACCCAACAACTCTATAGGACTCACAATGACACAACTCAATGGAACTCAGACGAACATGGCCCTATGAGACTCAGACACACAACCCAACGGAACTGGCCCTGTGAGACTCACATGATTATACAACTCAATACAGTTCACTCTGATGTAGCCTGGAAAAACTTCCCGCCACAGAACTCTACACAATTTAACCCAACAGAACCCCAAAAGACTCATACGATCATATATCCAAGCCCCAATTTAACTCAACATGACCTAGAAAGCCCACATTCTATCACTCAACTCTTTGTATTTCCACATGACTCACAAGTTCACAGAACCTAAAATAACAAAGCCCTAGAAGAATCACAAAACCACAGCATTTCCAACATGTCTCAATTCAGCTCCACAACACCGTGCATGAACACACAATCAGCCCAACTATGCTGTGGGTGACCACCTAACTTAATTCAAGATAGCCCTAGGTGGTCATTAAAACCACAGAATCCTGCACAGTATAGTTGGACAAGACTCACCTAGATTTACAACCCAACCCAACAGGGCCTAAAAAACTCACAACACTAGATGACCAAACTCATCTCAACACTTCCCCTAAAGGCTCCACAAGCCTCACACAGCCCAAAACAGTACAAATCAATGGAGTCTCCCCTGAATTCAGCATAACCTACTGCTGCTATTCACTGTCACCTAAGGAGGTACCCACAGAACCACTAAACACAACTCCAGACCCAATAAGACTCAGTGTTCCCCAACTCATTACCACTTAACCTAGTTCTTCCTAAACTTAATGCCCTCCCCCTAACCTTCCCTTCCATCCATCCCTCCCTCCCTCCCTCCAAGGAAATGTGAGGTCGTGCAGATCTCAACTGTCCCTCACACTTCGGTGACCATGTGTTTCCCAGGGGGGGCCCAGAGTGGAGGTGGTAACTCAGGTATCTCAGCATCTACCAATCCCCCATTGACTTTGCCCTCCAGTGGGCCGCAGGGTTGTGTGTCCACATGGCTGAACATCCCAGCCTCTTCACCCTCTGTCTCTCGGTGGTAAAAGTAGCTAAAGTTGGAGACAATGACTGGCACGGGCAGGGAAATGGTCAGCACACCAGCGATGGCACACAGAGAGCCTACGATCTTGCCGCCGACAGTGACGGGCACCATGTCTCCATAGCCAACTGTGGTCATGGTGACCACCGCCCACCAGAAGGACTCAGGGATGCTGGTGAACTGTGAGTCTGCCCGGTCAACTTCAGCAAAGTAAACTGCGCTGGAGAAGAGGACCACACCGATGAAGAGGAAGAAGATAAGGAGGCCCAGCTCACGCATGGAGGCCCTTAGCGTCTGGCCCAAGATCTGCAGGCCTTTTGAGTGCCGGGACAGCTTGAAGATGCGGAAGACGCGCACCAATCGGATGACTCGCAGGATGGCTAGTGACATGGCTGGCTGGGCCACCCCTCGCTGTCGGGCCAGCTCGGTGCCCAGGGCCACAAAGTAGGGCAGAATGGCCACAAAATCGATGAGGTTCATCACATTCTTGAAGAAGACTGCCTTGCTCGGGCAGGTCGCCAGGCGCACCAGCAGCTCGAAGGAGAACCAACAGATGCACAGTGTCTCCACCACAAAGAAGGGGTCATCGAAAGGCATTCGAGGAAGTTGTCCCGGCACGGGGCTAGAGCCGTTCAGACGAAGAGGGAACTGCAGGGAGGAACGGGTTCAGGGAGGCCCACGCCAGGGCTGGGACACACTGGAATGGCCATATTTGTTGTTCAAATGTCCAACTAGTTCTCTTCAGATTGGTCAATAGCCACTGCTCCCCCAGGCCCCCAGAAACCCAGCTGTCCTAGACTCCTTCCCAGGACCTGGACGATCATCCCTGGACAGCTGACTTTATGGCCCTGAAATGATGCTTGAGTGGGGCTCAACCTTACCCCTCCCCAAATCCCAACTCCAGTGTTGATTTTCCAGAGGGGGAGAGTCCCTGCCCTGGCCCGTTCCCTGTGCCCTGCCCTCCCCAACCCCAGCCCAGACTATAATAGTTAGAGTCCTTCTCTGCAACCAGCCCCTGGGGCCCCTCCTCCCGCCACCCTCCCCAGATTTTCTTTGTGATCCATTCTTCCTACCACAGCCCTCAGGCCTCACCCCTCTGTCTCCAACTCCCTTTCTTCAAGCACCGGCTCTCACCACCTCCAGCCATCCTTCCCATTGGGTACATCCAGCCACAAGACCCCCAATTTTTCAGGCCCTCCTTTCCCCCTCAGCTTCTATTTCTTAACCTACATGCCCTCCTGCCCTCCATAAGCAGGGTTTCTCGCCTATCTCAACCCGGCCTTCTGATAGGGCAGGTCCCATTCGGATCCTCAGGCCCCGTCTGTCCCCAGCCCGGCTTTTAAGGGTAGTCCCCAGGTCAGGCCCTGTCGCTGCGTTGCCCACCTCTCACAGCCCCTCATCTCACCTATGATTGCCCAGGCCAGGTCCCTGCCAGACCCCAACGCCTCACCCACCCACCTACAGCCCAGGCCCGCGCTCCGGAGAGGCCCTGCCCACCAATGCCCCTTACCCACCCTTATGATTGGTCAGGTTCCGGTGGACCCCGCCCAACCGGTGCTCCCAACCCCGCCTCTCTCCACCCAGGCCCCGCCCCCTCACCGGGCCAGCTGCAGCCACAGCGGTGAGCCCCGGGTTGTCGCGGTCATCGCGAAAGTCGGGCAGCGTCTCGAGGCAGAAGACGACGATGGAGACGAGGATGACGAGCACAGAGACGACGGCGAGCACGCGCGCAGCCTGCGAGCTCTCGGGGAACTCGAAGAGCAGCCATAGCTGGCGCGCGAAGGCGCGGCGGGGCAGGGGGCGCTCGGGCGGCACCGGACAGCCCTCGTCCTCCCGCAGACGCGCCAGCGCCGCCGCGCCCAGCCCGTAGAAGGCCACCTCCTCCAGGAAGACGTCGAGCGGCACGTGCGCGGGCCGCCGCAGCCGCCCGCCGGACTGGTAGTAGTAGAGCACGGCGTCGAAGCTGGGCCGGTGCCGGTCGAAGAAGTACTCGCGGCGCGCGCCGTCGTAGAAGCGGCTGCGGCGCACCGGGTCCCCGAGCAGCGTGTCCGGGAAGCGGCCGAGCGTGCGCGCCCGCGTCTCGAAGCGTAGCCCGGCCACGTTGAGCACCAGCCGCTCGCAGCAGCCGCACGGCGGCGGGCACCGTGGCTCCATGGCGCGAGCAGCCCGGGCGACCCGCGGACGGACGTGTGGCCCCGACGCCCGACCCGGCGCGGCCCGGCCCGGCCCCGCCTCGGCCACAGCCGCCGCCGCCCCAGCCTGGTGTCCGGTGTCCACGCGTAAAAATAGCCCGGCCCTCCGGCCAGGGCAAGGGGGAGGGGGCGCCGTGACCCCGGCGGGGCAGAGGGCGGCCGCGCGCCCTCTGCCGGGGCTCCCGCCCACCCCACCCCGCTGCCCCGCTGCGCTTTCTCCGCCTCCATCCCGCTTTCGGGTCCCTTCTGCCTCTGTCTCTCTCTCTCTATCACCCGGGATCTCTGTTCGGCCTCCTGGTTTCCTTGTGTGTGTATCGTCTCTTTTTTTATGCGTATCTGAATGATGTTTGCGTCTGGCTGCCTTCCCTTCATTCTCTGCCAGGTATGTATCTGAGTATCTATAGGGGCCAGTTATCCCTGAGTTTTGCCATTCTAGGGGACTCTGTCGGGGGTCTCTGTTAGCCCCTGTCTTGGTCTCTCTGGATCATTGTTTGACTTGTTTCTTGCGGGTCTGTTTCTATTTATTTCTTGTCTCCCTTGATCTCTGTCTTTCCTCCCTGTCTGATTCTTGTCTCTCCGGGTCTTTATTCTCTCATTATCTCTTAAGCCCCTGTGTCTCTGTCCCTGGGTTTCTCAGGGGTTCCCCCTTTGGGTCTCTATCTTTTTCCGTATCTCTGAATTACTGCGAGTCTCTGTCTCAGGGCCTCTGGAGCACTCAGTGTCCAGAGTCCTATCTCTGAGTCTCTCTCTGACCATCACTCTTGCTGGGTTCCACCACTACCCAGGTGGTTGCCCTGTCGTGGGGACGCTCCAGTCCCCGCAAACGATGAGCATGTGCGCCCCGCACCCAGTCTCCTTGCCAAGGTCTCCCTGGGTCTCCACCTGGATTTTGCACCAGACGTTCTGAGACCCCGCCAGGCCTGAGCTGTATCCCTGAATAGTGCAGAGGCTGGGCCTGCCAGGAACAGGTCTGGGGTGGGCTGGGAGATGCCGCAGGGTCACTCAAAGGGACCGAAGGACAGACGATGGCCTTCCAGCTACTGGTGTCCTATGACACCACATAAAAATAGCCCCATCTGATGGGCTTGGGAGGAAGTGGTGGTGATTTGTTACCCGGACTCCGGGAATGGGATCCCGGGCGCCCTCTGCTGGGGAAAAGGAGGAACACTAAGATTGTAACTCCCATTTCTGGCACTCTCTTACTGTCTATAATTTACTTCGGGGATGCTGTGTCACCATCCCTCTGGATTTCTGTGTTTCTCTTTCTCTGGATCACTTGCCTCCATCTCTCTATGGCCGTCTCTTTCATGATCTTTCACCCTTCCTTGTTTCTGAGTCCCTGCTCCCCTTCTCTCTGGTCTCTCATCCTCTGGGGGCCTCTGAACTCTAGGTGTGAACCGATCCCACCTCCCTGCAGCCCTGTCTCCTACAGCCTCTACCGCTGAGTCTGGAGGTAGGCACTCCTTTGTGTCACCTCCAGTTCTTCCTCCTCCAACTCCTTTGAAACCCAAGTTATCCACAGTGCAGCACCTCTTCCCATCCTTCCCTAATGAACTCATCTGTTACCCTTCTGGCTGCTCTCACCCTGTCATGGAAGCCTTTAGATCCTGGCTTGCTACTCAACTACTGTCATAATTCTCAGTAATTTCAATATCCCCGTAGATGATCCTACCAAAATCTGGCCTGCACTGGATTTTTTCCAAAAAGGACCATTTTTCTTGTCCTATAGGGTAGCCCCAAACCTTGCCACACCCTATCTTGTGCAGTCCATGCCCAGGGCTTTGACGACTCCTTCAACTGACAAATCACCTTGGAAGGAACGCTTTGTGATTTCCCAGGTTGGGTCATAAAAGGCAACTTTCTGACCCATTCTTTTCTTTGGGACACATGTGCAAGCCAGATGTTGAGGCCCATGTGGAGAGGCCGTTAGGCTGCTGGCCTTCAGCCCTGGCTAAACTCACAGCTGATCCCAGCACCAAGCTGCAGCCATGTCACTGGGCCATCTCGGAAGCACGTCCTCCTGCCCCTGCGGATGCTCCTGGGGCAGAGAGAAGCCTTCCCCCGAAACCCATGCCCAGACTGAAGATTTGTGAGCCACACCAATGATCTTTGTTTTCGTCAGCCTGCAGCCTTTGGATGGTGTTTACAAACAGCGAAGTAATGATAACCAGAACATGGCCACTTGGTACTCCAAGCCCATCATTTCCATTGATCATGCTCTCCACCTGATCCCAGCTACCCACTTTCTTTTTTGTGTGTAAGAGTTTTACTGAGCTACCATTCACCCGTTAAAAGTGTACAACACAGTGGCTTTTCGTATATTCTTAAGAGTTGCTCAGCCATCAGCGCAGTCAATCTAGAATGTTTTGTTTCCCCCCAAAGGAACTCTGCACCCCTTAGCTGTCACCCCCTATTGCACCATTCATGCTCACAGTCCTACTCTTGTCCTTGTCCTTAGCAGGAACTACACCCCACCTTCCACTCTTTATTTCTACCATCTCATTCTTTGTCCACGTTCTCCTTTTTTCCAACAACTGATACATTGGCCCTGACACTTGTCCATTGTCTCTGTCTGCTCCCACCTGCCCTCCCTTCCCTCTTTCCCTGCTTCCACAGTCTAATAAAATCACTCCCTTTTGCATCTGTACTCCTTTGCCTAGGACCCCCTGCATTCTTGGGACCAAACCTTAATCCTAGTAAATCCTTTGTCTTCCTCAGTGACTTTCCAGGGGGGCTGTACCCCGAATCCCAACCCTGCCTGCCACCCTGCTACATGTCCCTCATCAGTGTGCCCTCTGCCTCCCCAAGACAGCCGTTACCCATCTTTGTTCTCAGATCCTCCACAGCATCCTGACCCAGTGAGCTGATTTACGTCTCTCATTTGCTGAAAACAGAAGCTACCAGAACACTTCATCTTCCCAATGCCCCTTCTATCAGCTGTCCAGGTAGTCTGCGTTTCATGCACCCCCCACCCGCCAAATCCAAGACCAACATCTTGTGTCCTGGATCCCATCTGCCTGTTCCACCCTTGGTCTCTGCTCCTGTCATCACTCCTAATTCTCCTGTGTCATCAGTTTGGAGGACGGAGATTCCTCTCCCCCAGCCCCTGCAAGGTGTCCATGTCCTAAACCCAGGAAGCTTTGAGTATGTTATCTTATACGGCAAAAGGGACTTCGTGGGTGTGATTCAGTTAAGGCTCTTGAATTGGGGAGAGCATCCTGGGTGATCTGATGATCCCAGTGTAATTAGAGGGTCTTTATAAGTGGGAGACAGAAAGGTCAGATTCATAAGAATATATGAGGATAGACATAAAGATCAGAGAGGAGGGAAGGAGCTATGTTGCCAGCTTTGAAGATAGAGGAAGAGGCCTTGAGCGGAGGAATACAGAAGGCCTCTAGAAGCTGGAAAAGGCAAGCAAGGAAACAAATTCTCTCCTAGAGGCTCCAGAAGGACCACAGCCCCACGTGCCCATGTTAGACTTCTGACCTCCAGAACTGGATGACCATCAATGTGTGTTTTAAGCGCTAAGTTTGTGATAATATGTTAACAGCAGCATTAGAAAACTAACACAGCCTCTGTTGTTCCTCAGTATCACCCCTGTGTTACAGGAACACTTAAAAGAAAAACCTTTAAATTTCAGAATAGTTCTACACTTACAGAAAAGTTGCAAAGACATCACCTAGCTCCCCTCATATCAGTGTCGTCCACTGCCATGGTTGTTAAAACCAAAAGACTGACATTGGTAAATACTACTGACTAAATGATAGTCAACGCCTGTTTTCCCACTGATAGTGTTTCTGCATTCCAGGGTACCACGTTGCATTTAGGTGCCATGTCTCCTTGGTTTCCTTCAACCTGTGATTATTTCTTACTTTTCCCTTATCTTTAATGACTTCAACACTTTTGATTCTAGGCTACTGGTCAGCTATTTGGTAGATTGTCCTTCAATGTGTGTTTATCTGTTGTTTTAATTCACTGGAGATTATAAGCTTTGGGGGGTGGAAGAGGGAAGAGAATGCCACAGAGGTGAGGTCCCCTTTTCACAGCATATTGGGGGCACATGATGTTACTACGTCTCATTAAAGGCGATGTTAACTTTGAGTACTTGGTTAGTTACATTTTGTCTTTGGCGACTGTGAATAAAGATGCTATAAAAATCCATGTACATGTTTTGTGTGAACATAAATTAGGGTAGTGTCGGTTGGGTTTTTCCACTGGAAAGTAATTTTTTTTCCCTTTGTAATGAATGAATATTGGGGGGAGTCATCATTTCTGTTCAGTCAAGTTTAACGAGGTTTAATGTACATACAATAAAATTTACCCTTTATAGCGTGCACATCTGTGAGTTTTGGCAAATGAACACAGCCCTGAAACGGCCACTACAATTAAAACATGGAACAGTTCCACCACTGCCCCAAAGTTCCCTCCTTCCCTGTGTTATCAACCGCCTCCCCCACCTCCAGATCTTGAAAACTACTTCTCTCCCTCTGTCCCTCTAGTTCTGCTTTTTCCAAAATGTCAAATTAGTGAAGTCATACAACATGTAGCGTTTTGAATCTGGCTTCTTTCATGTCACGCATCAAAGATTCACTCCCCTTACAGCTATCAGTAATCCTTGCCTTCTTAACACTCAGTAATATTCCAGGGCACTGATATTTGCCTATTTGTTTTTCCACTCACCGCATGAAGACCATTTGAATTACATTTCGTTTTTGGTGACTACGAATAAAGATGCTATAAAAATCCACGTGCATGTTTTTGTGTGAACATAGATATTCAGGTCTCTAGAACACGTAGCTCAAGAGTGGGTTTGCTGGGTTGTATGGTAAGTGTATATTTAACTTTTTTTTTTTTGCCATCAGGGACAATTGTGTTAAAAGACTTTCTTACTATCTTTTCTATTGTAGGAAAAGCCAAAAAACCTTCCTTGACTCCATTTCCCTGTCCTGCTCTTGTCACCTTTGCTCTACCCCTTTTGCAGCAAAACTTCTCCCCACCTGAGGAGACTTCCCTATCGAGGAGTCCACTTCATCTCCTGTT